TTGGTGATCAAGAAGTGGCTTGTAAGTTTTAAGGTTTTCACGGCGGTGACTATGGAGAATGCCGTCTTCTGGAATGTGGAGCCGTAAAGATATTTTGTTAACCGACGTATCGCCTCAAGACACCTCACGCTTGTTCATCGCTAGCGGATTTCTTATACCCTGAAGATGGAGGCAATACGTTCCTCCGAAACGTCGGTTAACAATATCTACACGGCCCCACATCCAAGAAGACGGCATTCTACAAGGAATGGTTTATTACCAGATCGCGACTCACGTATTGTTCACGCCGTTTGCGGTAAGCACAGCCATGCTAGGCGCTTACTCCAGCATTAGGCCAGCTAGTCTATGAATGAATGTATAAGGGGTGGGCCTTCTTGGCCCTTGCACCGCGACCACAGTCTGTATTGAGATATCCAGATTCTGCAGCTCTTTCTGTACTTAGCATCAATGTGCAGGTGTAGTGGCCCCCTCAATTGGCAGAGCCCGATGGCGGATCTAGGAACGAAGGCAGCAGATTGCTTTGTGTTGTCCCCCAACAGCCACTTTAAATATTGTACTAAACTTTGAATCGCCTTATACGTAATTGTAATTTCGGGTTTTAAATCTTCTTTTCCTTCAATTTGAATACAGCATATGTTGATCTAAATTATTTTTTGGAATAGTTTTATTTTCAATACTTAGTTTTTATTCTTATTTATTTTTTTGTAATTAATTCACTGGCCACACTGGGAATGCCGAGGCCGCGGGTTGCATACCATTTATATAAAGGAGACACGAATAATTTTAGAACGCAGTTATAGTTCTGTACTGCACAGCTATCTTACTAGAAGTAATGAGATTATACCCGTACTTTACGTATTTCACAAGTAATATTAGACAGTTTCCGGAACGTGTTTCCTTCAGATTACATTTCTTTGAGAGTTCTAGTAGTTCCCATGTTTGAAATTCGAATAAATTCTTCAGTCCATATAGAGATCTCCGTAACCGCATTTCTGCCTTCGTCAGGCTATCGGAACACGCTTCCTCCCAAGTGCTTCGAGTGTGTCTGAGTAGAAAAGCAGACTGTAAGGAGAACAGGGAAGTACTAGTTAACAGTTATTTGCCGTCCCCCCCTCTGCCCATAAAACCAGTTAACTGATTTTTATGAAGCTGGTACGAGCGACATTCCACATGGCGCCACCATTTCAGTTTCACACTACCGGTGTAATGTGGAGAGGATTCAGCTGGCCAAGGATGGACCAGTGGCTTTTTTTATGAATACGGTAATGAACTTTCGGGTTCCATGAAGTGCTTTGAATTTCTTGAGTGGCTGAGTAAAGGTTGACTTTCCGGAAGGGACTCACCTCCGTGGATTTGGTTAGTTACTGTGAGTACTGTATAATCAATAATAATAATAATAATAATATATGCCTTTGAGCCCTACGTCACGATAATAGAGAAGATCAGCATTAATAGCCACCAGAACTTCTGAAGCGAGAGCAATATCATTGTTACTTAACCTGAGCTGTGGTAGTGGAGTTTTGTGAGGAAATTCCAGGAAGCAGAACCGTTACTGAAAAATTAATAGGTCTGGTCATATTTGTCGCTCTTTATGGAAACCAGTAAGTTCATTACCATGTTCACAAAAAAGTCTGTCACTGGCCTTTATGATGAGCCAAGTAAATTGAAACCACGTTCTCACACCTTATTTTCTTAAGAGCCATTTTAAAATTATTCCCCCATTAACGCTTCGGGTCTGCTCTAATGGTTGTTCTAATCAAATTTTACATTTCAGATTTTGTACGGATCTTTTCAGTTCTCCTATGCATGTTACATTCCCCGCTCATCTCGTCCTTCTTCATAGATATTCGATATATATATATATATGTGTGTGTGTGTGTGTGTGTGTGTGTAATTTGTTTACGCGTTGTATATTGTAAAACAGTACGATGGTGTTCACATGAGATCTGCATGCAAGTTTCGGTCTGTTGCTAGTAGCTGTAAAACCATCAGGACTGGACGGTGAAATTTTGTACATAACATCACAAACTTATCTCTAAGTTATATGTGAAATATATTTCTGTATGCTGACAGTTGCAAACATGGCGAAGATGAGAAGCGTTCGGATTTTACGTGACACGTCTAACGCCGTTATCATATATGTTCTTATACTGTGAAGCTCAGCCATTTGTCATCTAGCTTCCTGCCCTAAACCACGTGCTCCCACCTTAGCAAAAACAAACTCCGTGGTCTGTAGTCCGCAGGCGAACTATACCGACCGAGCGACCGCCCCTTGTCGGCGAAGTTAGTGCCAACTTTATCGGATACAGGGTGTCGCGTGATCAGCGCAACGGATCCCCACGGCCGTTAATTTCGGTTTTATAGACCGGAGCCGCTATTTCCTTGAAATAGCTCCTCAGTTGTCCTCACGAGGCTGAGTGGACCCCGTTCCAGACCCACTACTTCTCAGAAAATCTGGTAAGGCCGGGAATCGAATCCGATATCTCTGGATCTGTAGCCAGGAACCCTGACCACTAGACCAGAGAGGCGGTCGGTCCCACCTTAGCAAAATCACAGCTTTACTTTTTTCCATAAATTGTAGATTTCGAGATGTGACACTTCAGTGTGACAGTTATCAGTGATGGAGGTTTTCATTTTAGATACCTCACGTCCTATCCAGCCGCTTGTCCAAGTCCAGTCAGTGAGAAGCGCAACTGTGGCGGGAATTATGGACATAAACGGATTCCTTAAATTATACTCGTATAAGTGTAGTTTTTGCTGTCATCACCATCATCGTCGTCGTCGTCATCATCATCGTCATCATCAATCATCATCATAGACGGAAATATTGTGAAGCAAATCATGCGTATTGCCTGCGTGCCAGAGGCCCTCGTCGGGAGAGAAGTGATTGAAGGTTGTAGCGGCAGAACACCGCTCCCATTGCCTGTGAATAGCTCGTGATTTTTGAACTCTTGCCGTATTAAGGACGGCTGATTGCTTCAATGCCGGACAACGCCGCGGACTGTAATGATGTTAAGTACAAGCAGCATGAGTGGTCGGTCTGGTGGACGTTGCGTGTCTTGAATGGTAGATGAGTTCTAATAATAGAAGGCTTGAATGACTTCTTGGTACTGGCTCGGTTGTTAGGCCCAGTAACGTGGTCCCATTTTGACACAATAAATAAACTGCTCCCATTCAGCCTCTCTTAATGGTGTCACGTCGAAGTCTGCGCAGGGATTCGTGTGGAGGATGCCGGGGAATAAATACCGCTATAATATAATTTAATAGAGCCAGGATAATGTATTCGGTATAGCGACTGGCTGCGGGCTGGACGACAGAGTGGTCGGGAGTTTGAGTCCGGTGTGGGCAAGAATTTTCACGTCTCCATGTCGTCCAGACCGGCTCTGAGGCCCACCGAGTCTCATATCGAATGGGTATCAGGGGTTCTTTCCCCGGGGATGAAGGGATAGGGGCGTGAAGCTAACCACTGATCTCCAACTAATGTCGAGGTCTAGAAAATATGGATCTATACATCCGCTCCCCCATACGCCTTCATGGTGTAGTGCTCAATTAGTTAAGCATAGGAGCAACTTTGCCTTTATTATATATGCTATGGAGAGCAGGGATAGCAGGGATAGCGCAGTCGGTATAGCGACTGGCTACGGGCTGGACGACCAAGTGGTCGGAGTTCGAGCCCCGGTAGGGTCAAGAATTTTCTCTTCTCCACGTCGTCCAGACTGGCTCTGGGGCTCACCCTGCCTCCTATCCAATGGGTACTTGGGGTTCTTTCCCCGTTGATAAAGCGCTCTGGGCGTGAAGTTGACCACTTACAAGCGAAATAAATTTAGACGGGGAAATGAACAGAGAGGTCGGCAGGGAAATACAAAATAGTTCTAAATTCTTTCATTATGAAGATATTGTGGGGCACACAGGTCTGAGTTTACTGAGCAGGTTGACATCACTGTGGACTCTTATTCAGAGTTGCTCGGTTTGAACTTCAGCCGGGGTACTTGGTATCCTGACCGAGATATGACTTGGTTTTGGTCACTGCAGGCAGATAACTGTGAAACTGTTTTGATTAGGCCACAACCCGAGTTTCTAAAATCATTTCCAGTTCATTACGCTTCTGTCGTACTCTGTAGCTACCTACTGACGTTTCCGTGAAACGACCCACACAAAGAATGCTTCACACCTGTATAGTAGGCCACGGAAAAATTGTGGTGACTGTGCAGGCCTTTCAGATGTAACCAACTATTGAAAAGTATCGGTATTAATGTTACTTAGTTTTCACTATGTGGTGACTTATTTCCTTCTCCAGTATAAGTAAAGTGAAGTAAGTAAACTTGTCCTGTACGTAACTACAGCACTACGCCATGAAGGCACGTGTATAGATCCACGTTTTATTGACGTCAGCACTAGTTAGAGTTGAGTGGTGAGCTTCACTCCCCCGTCGCTTTACCCCGGGGAAAGAGCCCCCGGTACCCATTTGGATAGGAGACTGGGTGAGCCCCAGAACCAGTCTAGACAACGTGGAGAAGAGAAAATTCTTGACCCTACCGGGACTCGAAATCAGGCCCCTCAGTCGTCCAGCCCGTAGCCAGTCGCTATACCGACTGAACTATCTCGGCTTCAGGGCAGTAACAAAATGGTATCATGTCCATCTCTTTATTAAAATAAATTAAAACCATGCATTTTGCTAAAAGTTGCCACCGAAAATTTGCCTCTTCATTGAAATTTCTCTTTCAAAAATCTGTATTACGTTGGAAGTTATTTTCCATGTTTATGTACATGTAATAAACTTTGCATGGTTCATGTTAGTATGTTATTTCCCCTTCAAACCTTCAAAATAGCAGTACGCTTTATTTTCTGTGGCGATTTAAATCGGATCGTTTGTGTTTGTCGTCATTGCAAGAGACGGAACAATTATCTCCAAGGAAATGATTATAATATGTGCAGAATATTTAGATACTAGACTGCAAGAGGAAAGTATTCCTTTAGTAATGTGCTCCTGTCTTTTGCAGGGAAGTGCCGCCTGTCGAACCGGGATGAGGAACTCTACGCTGCTCAAATGGGCGCAGAACAACAACAATAACAACAACAACAATAATAATAAGCAAACCGGTAAGGCAGGAGGTGAGTTGAATTGAATGATGGTGCAGCGACAGCGTTAAATATCCTACACGCTTTATTGTAACTTACGCGCCATGCCATGAGATCATACCAAATTACCAGCGCTTTATTATATCGACGCTGCATAAGATAATGCAGGAAACCTATATAAAGGCTTGCTCGGATATCTTCATTGCCTCCAACAATGTAGAAGTCATTCCTACCAGTAGAACTTAACGAAGTGAACCTTTGACTTTAACAAATTTACATTGTTGATAGCATATGTACTCGTATTCAATGAAATCGTGATTAATAATCAGTGGTGGAGTTATCAGTGGAAAGTGTAGTTACGGATGGGAATTGTTTGTTTTGAAAAGTACACATTTTATTACATATAAGACCGTAGTTTGCTTGCGGGCTACAGGTCACGGAGTTTATAAGACCGTACAGGATAATGTGCGTGAGAAGAAATAGTGCGTATGGTGGTAATGTCGAAGTAACATGTATTACTGAAATGTACGAGTAAAAAGTGTTTCGTTTCTCGTTGCTTATTTATATATGGAGTAAAATAATTCCAACTCCCGCCTGATATGTAATTGGTCTAGCTGTACCCGGTATCTCCGTTGTTTAGTAGTGAAATGGATGTTCTCTTGCCGTTTGTCTGTGATATACTACAGGCGTGCCTTTTCCCAGTTTTCCCAACCGTTTAAGTGGTTTTGGTAGTAGATCTGCTTGTGACTGTATGACCTTTCGGGTTCCATAACACGGAATTTCTCGTTCACCTAACTAAACATTATCATGACGAGACACTTGGTCATGGCACTGTGGAGGAATACGGCAAGTAAATACGTAAAGGCATTTCTGAATCGAAGTAAAGCGTACTGTCTCAGCCAGGCGCTTAAGGGCCGTGTAAGTCTTTCATACAGCCAGGAGCTTTGGCACTGGTTCAGCCTCATGCTTTGCCGTCGTGCTGTAATGCTTTCATGGCGTCTTCTATTTAAAGAAACCGTCTAGTAATATATTTTCGTTGTAGACGCCCACCGTTCAGACACGTGAACATTTGGCTACTGAATGATGAGAGATGTCAGGATAAGTGCGCGTTAAGCTACTATGCAAGGGAGGCTTAGGCTAATGGCTATTGGATAGAGTGGGCACAGTGAACTTGAAGCAGGAAATCCTACGATCCTTATGTAGGCACTTACATTACAGCACTGCGCGGCTCATTATGTTACATCGTAGAATGAGCGAAGGCTGAAACTGTCGGCCTATAAAATATTCGAATTAATGAAGTTCTCTTTCTATGTACTGGGTAAGATGCCGTTGTATTATAGCTGGATGTATTGTTACAAAGATTATCATAGTTAAATTTCAGACATAAATTAAATATTTTTATTAAAATGACTACGCGTGTTGTTAACCCTAGAATTATCATTCAGGGGTGTGTTCTTCGTAGCAAACGTTGGACATCGAAGCTTCACATGTTTATATATATCCATAGGCATATCCAGTGATTAAGTTTTAAGGGTGAAGTAGTTTATATGTACGATAGATAAAAACAAAGTTACGGTTGTAATGTTTCAGTGTATTCCAATTCAACATCGTCATTGTTGTATGTATGTACGATTTTTAAATATGTACATAAAGTAACATGCCACTTATTAATGACACTAATGGTCATTCAAGTTCTGATACGTATTTGTTTCAAAACTGACGTGCTTTGCAACTGTATCAAATGAAAATTTACGAAGGATATCCGGAAAGTAAAGATACAAACTGCAGAAAATATTTGTAAAGCATTTCTTTTTTGGAAGGATTCACTTGTGGAACTTTTACAACACACCTCTGTTTACTTTTCATTATAGTGACCGTGAATCGCAATGCACTTAATGAGCCTGGGAACGAGTTTTTTTATTCCAGCGTCGTAGAGATCTCCCGCTTGCTCTCTTATCCAGGACACTTCTGGACATTGTTGATGAACTTCATCGATGGCTAAAACGTCTGTCAGCACGAATATTTTCATCAAATTTTTTGGATGATTTAATCAGTGGCAACGGATGGCCTTCCACTTCTTGTTTCATCATGTGCACCACTTCTTCCCGCTTCAAATTCACGTCACCATTTTGCCATGTTTTGCCTGTTCATAACATCTTCGCCGCAAACAGAAACAAGTTAGCGATGAATTTCAGCAGCATCTCCCACTTTCGCGTGAAGAATTCGAATTACTGCACGAACCCCACATTTGGCGGGATTTTGAATCGACACAGCCATTTTAAACACAAACTGCGAGCACACCGTTGCCGTGACTGTGACCGGTGAACTCTGCCCTGTCATACGGCTCACACGGCAGCACTGCCATTTCTGGAAAAAAGAAAAAAGTAATCCCTTGCAGTGTTACTGGACTTGTATCTTTACTTTCCGGATATGACTCGTATTTATATGTATATCTTTTAACCATTGTCCGTAAATTCTGTTTACTCGAAAGATAAAATTCTTATATTCTCTTCGTATAATTTTATAAGCAACGCATTTTACCCTAAACATATTTCGGGGTTAAATTTCAGTATTAATAAAATTTTATGAGCCTATATGAAGATTATTCTTCTATGTACGTATTACGGTAGCATATAATTTGTTTATATCCACTTCCTCTATTTATTATTTTTAATGGTTCTGCTTCCAGTTTTAAGTATTTCTCAGGTTATAAATGTGTTTAATTTCTTACAGCATAAGTGGGGCACTTATCCATGATTAAACTAAATAAAATCACAGCAGAAGCTAAGAATGCAGTTTTCTTTGTTCTCTTTCATGCTTTAAACATTGTGTTCTTGGTTTCTCTGTTCCACAAAATGTGGAGATAGAATGATGATGAACTAAAGCAACGAAATACTGAAATTAAACTATTTCATTTAGCTTATTCTAGTTTCTATACAGTATCTCCGTAATACTGATTTAATGTCTCCGTTGATGTTAGTTATATCACAGTTTTATCCTTGCCAGCACGCTATGTTTATCAGTATTTAGCACTTAATCACCATTAATTTTATGGAACTAGCTTCGCTTACTCAAAGGTCTGAAGCTCTTATACTTCTGTAGAAATTACCATTGCACAGTATCAGTTGTTTATACTCGTACGTCGGGTCATGTATGAAACTTAATCTCATGTAAAGTAGAGGTTGTGTCAGCTTATAAGAACTTAACTTAATCCGCTAGACAGTGTTTATTGTAGACCAGTAGTACCAAATTTCATCGAAACACGGTCAGAAAGTCCTAAAATAACATGTTGAAGGATGGACACATACAGCCCCTCTATTGTGCGTAAATTTATGCACTCCCTACGAAGTACCGTACTTAAACACTGCACACGATTAATACAGCGATGTCTGTTGCAGGCAACAGAAACTGGATCCACCCGCCGGATGCTCTACAACGAGGTCATATAGCTTATCTAGTCAAGGTAAGTTGAAGCGATTAGTCGTCGTGTTTGCATGTTTCCCCGCGTCCATAACTCCATTTTTCATGAATGCCTCATGTTAGTGAATGTTCAAAAGAGTCACCATTACCAGGAACGTCCGCTTGGCAGTATAGTCGTCAGTATTTACAAAATATTTTCACCAAATTTGAAAAAAAAATAAATGGTGAGGCAAATGCGTGAAAGAATCTGGTTGCTGGCGGAGAGAGGGGAATGTAATAAAAAGGAACCGGGTCAGCATCGTGAAGACTTCTTTTGTTAAATTATTGGCAATAAAGAAATGTTGCACCAATTGTACTTCCGTGCCAGCCGTAGCCTTTATTTAGAATTGCAGTGTTGTTCATCTGTTGTGCAACGCTTCACGGACATTTGTCATGTTGCAACTGCTGCACACACCTTTAGAAACTGCTTCTATCCGTTGACAAGGGGTTATGCTTGATTGCCAATTTCTATCTCGTGTCCCATTTCAAACCCGACTAAAATTGTTTTTTTATTGCTAGTGGGGTGGGACTAAGTCCCTTGTACTGCGGCCACTTGTGGCCTATTGTACCAGCCCCAGATGATAGGTGAGGGTGATTGTGGAGCGGTTGGTGGGATGAAGATTGACAGGGGAAACTGAAGTACTCGGAGAAAACCTGCCCCAGCGCCACTTTGTCCACCACAAATCTCACTTGACCAGACCCGGGATCGAACCCGGGCCGCCGCGGTGGGAAAGCAGCGACTAACCATTTGAGGTATGGCGCCGCGGAAAACTGGGTTACAGTAAATCCAGTGAGTCGTTCATTATGTGTAAACACATGGGAGGAACCAGACCTACTAAAACGAAGCAAGATGGCTCAACGTTTCTGACTTGTGTTCGAGAAGTGCCCATTTCGAATATCAGGCGGGACAACGGCTATCGTGAGTTAACATTTCGTGGTTTTCTTCAGGCCTTCCAGGCAGTTGTGGAAGTTTTGCCTCTAACTACATCACGATCGCTTCCGTCTGAATCATGTCCACTTTATTATTCTCTTATCCTGGCCATTCACCGCTGTGCAGTCCAAGAACTGACAGCATAGTTAAACTGTAATCGATGTACCACAGGCAAATTGTAATTAGAAGGCTCACGTAGCCCCCGTGTTGATACTTTTCAACACAAAAATGTTTTGTTACGGCACTTATAGCCATGTTTATAACTCCAACTATGCAAAATTTCACGTGACCAATCACAGTGATCACTGTTTGCCTAAGCGAATTTCTCGCATTCAACCGCCCTACAAGGTATCAGAAAATTTCCCATGGTGCACCCTTGCATCTCGCCATCTCTTCGATGTGCCCTGCATCACGATACGTGAGAGTTGGCGCCTTGTTGTACTGCTATCCTCTCGAAAAAACTTAGCGTGTTTTTGTTTTATATTTTCCGCTCACCAGAGGTTTGCCCCAAGAAATGTATGTTGGCACTGTAAGTGGAAATGTAAAAGCTATGAAGAGAAGAGAATAGTACGACGTAATACGTTAGAAAGAGACTTATTTATGTTTATTAAGAGTCCATGACCCCTCTACGAATTTCACAATTCACGATCATGTCAGAAGCATAGCCTATTCCTCGTGAGTAGGCCTGTACGTGGCACGACTTCCATGCTTTTCATTTCTGCTGTTGACAGAGCTGCAGTAAAACAGAATGGAATCCCATATTCTGAACGCTCTTCACAACTCAGCGCCTCTGAGCACTCCGCAAGGGGCAACAGAGTCAAGTTCTGTTGCTGCGATGCGCATTCTTGAATATCCCTCACTATACGTGAAGGGAATTCTTAGTGCAGTTTGTCTCTACCATATTCGACCTGTATCTATTAAATAAATTCGTAACTTACTGTTTGATAGGCATTTTTGTTGGTGACAAGAGACCCCCACATCACCTGCGGGAAGAATTACACTCTCGGACATACCTCGCCAGATAGTCATCTCTGAGAACAGTGTTACAGAGATTCATAAAATGCACACTTTCATAGAACAAAGTAGTTTCGAGAAAAGCATTATTTTATATACAGTATATATAAGAGGATATCTGTTAATTACGTTATCAGAAGGTTCACTATCGACCTGCCATCTGGTTTATAATAGTTCGATTTACAGTGCATTTTATATACCTACGTAACGTGTCATTTGAATCCATCATCGCGAGTGTATTCATTTCTTCAGACCGGAACAGAATACGTACTAGCCCACTGAACTGTAGTGTTGTGGAGACTTGAATGCTGGAATAAGAATAGAGATTTCAATGCTGGCTCAAACGAGGAACCATGTTGCTTTTTACGTATTTTAACTGTACACAAGGTCACCGTTATACATTCTGTTAACTGTTTCTTTCTAAAAGGATAATTACTCGAATCTCGGTACCAAGAAGGATTTTCTTGATTTCTCGCGGTTTTTCCGTCGCTAACTTCAATACGGAATCATAGGATATCTCTGTTGATCGGTTGTTCTAGTTTCTGTTACTGCACAGAGGTGTTTGCAGTTACAGATTTCTTCGAACCACTTCATATGAATGGCTCCAAATTAAAGAAGACGGGTGTGGGTTTGCCCACTTGTCTGTCACTTGTTCTATTCCAGTTGAGTCCCGGAAAAATGTAAGACTTTCCCCGGATTATCGTATCCAAAACAAATGACCTGGATACGGAGACGAAATTATCCACTTCTTTGCTACTGGTACTGCCGCCGCCGCCGCCGCCTCCAAGTTGGAACGGATGCATCGAAATATTTTGGGCTGAAAATGAAAGTTAAACAATTACGATCGTGGTTAAAAATTGACAAGTACACAAAATTAGCGATTGAACGTTATCTGTATGATCATGTACTTTTTCTTAACAAATCTGATTGCGTATTTTATAATATCAGAGGAATTTACTCGTGATACGATTTGATTACAACCGTGCCTTGTAATTCACCAAGCAGTGGTCCCGTATCCATTTATGAATCGGGGAAGTAAGGGTGGTCGACATTCAGGTTTCTGTCTCTGAAGACTGATCACATATCTTCATCCGTTTCCTTTGTAGATCCAACAGGACCATCATTATTTCGTACTCGGTTTTACGCTGGATTTTAGTGTGCGTGTATTCGAAATTTTGTCAGCTATACAGTTGTGAAATTTTGTAGGATTTGGGGTTCTCACAGCATTTGTTATGAAGAGATGGATCTTCTGGGATATAACACCGTGTAGTCCAATGAAAGTCAACCTACGTTTCGGAGGAACACATTGCCTCAAATAAATCATTGTGAAAGCAGGTGGGAAACAGCTGGAAGTGGAGGCGATATGTCCCTCCGAAACGACTCTTACCTTTCAACGGACTACACGGCGTTATATCCCAGAATATAGAAATCTTCAGTTCATATATTTTATTTACAATGTCAGAATTTTCTGCTGCTGCATATATTCAGCAAAACAGATTTTATATGGCAGGAAGGAGTTTCTCCGGTTGGTAATTTGGTAACAGATTGTACCAAGGACTTGCCCTGTTGCTGATACTACAGTATGCTTAATTACAACATCTTTCAGTCTCCTCGTATGCTTCTTGAATCTAATCGGTTAATTGAGCTGAGAAATGCATATCACTTTTTAGTCGGCAAATCGAAAAACCATTTGGGAAACTGGACGTAAATTGGAAAAAAATATTAATGTGGGCCTTTGCAAGGGTGTGACGGTGTTCTGTGGATTCAGTTATATCAAATTAGGGTCCATTGAGCGGACTCTTGTGAACACTACTGAACATTTGGAAGTTACACAAGCGGCAAGGAATTTATTTAGCTGAGCGACCATTAGCTTGCACCATCAGTAAGGCAAACCGCCTTGTTTTGTTAGTATACATATTATTATCATTATTATTGCGTATTTGCTCAAACCAAGAACTGTGGAGCCAGAGAAACAGCCTTTGCTAGGTAATGCCCACACGCAACGGTAGAGTTGTCACTGTACTTGACGCTTACAACCGTTGCTGTGGAGCGACTGGGTAAGCACTACGCGGTGACGTCACGCAACAGTAGAAGAGGTGTTACAAGCGGCGTTCTCTATGGGTCCGCTCCAAGGCTATATGACTCGACCGACTAAGTTAAATTCAGAGAGCTGTCAACACCAAGCCAGACAGACTGACTGACCGTCAGTTGCAACGTGAGTCTGTTTTTTTTTTTTTAAATTCAGAGAGCTAGTGCAGCGCAGTTGAGTATTTAAGTTGAGTATTGTGGAGTTTTAACGAGTGTACAACGGAAGCTGAAAATTCGTTACAAGGAAAACATTGCAGAGGAATAGCCATTGCCGTGAGCGGTTACCAGGTGAAGTCTAGTGAAAGCAGACTGAGAAGACTTAATGCGGAGTAATTTGTAGTATTGAAATCAGCACTAATGTTAAAGTTACAACCTGTAAGTGGTCAGTAAATCTATTCCCCAATCAAAACCCAGTCTGTAATCACCAATACACGTGATATTACTATTGCTGCCGCTGCAGTGTAGCATTGGATTCTCGTGTGTCACAGGTGCTGTTGAGGGAGCGAGCAGAGAATTTATGAAAGGTTTTCGTCTTGTAGGGTCGAGGTCCATGGGGACCTGGTCGACCTTGGCGTGCGGTCCGTACTTTTCCTCTCTTCGATCCTACAGTTATCAGCATGTTCGTTACAATCTTCCTGTACTGACAGCCGACCTGTTAATATCTACCATTAAAAGAACAGATCCGAAATAATGTAAACCTAGAATTCCGTGTTATGTGCACTAGACCAGTGGTTTTGCAACCTTTATCAGACCGCGGCCCAGTAAATTCTTTCTTCTACATGACGAATGCCCAGTATAATTGGTGCCAGAGCCCGGCGGTTGAGAAGCAATGGATTAGACGACGCCGTTCATAAAGGCCTAAAATTTTGAGAATTTGAACTTGTTAATGGTCAGGCATACAGTTGTTAATGCACATACATAAAGTAGGTTAGAGTATGTCTGTTGCAGAAGACTTCACTGACAGAGGTTTC